TTTGGAGTATTGTTATGCAGTATAACGAGAGAATTTTGACGATGATGGCGATAGAGAGAGAGAAAACGTTCGGAAATTTCAAGCTCGGAGTGGCAGACAACCTATCGTTTATTGCTTTGGAAGTCGAGGTATGCTCATGAAGTTATACTGTCACAACAATATAGTAACTTCATACTTTGGCACCAGAATTACAATAATAATATAAAACTTTTTAGAATCCATGTTAATCGATGTTTGTGACGAATGATCCCCAATATATAGTTATTATTGTTTCAATGCAAATGTGCCTTTGTTTACGAAACGTAGTCGGTACGGATCTGGTAAAAGAAAGCAACAACGATAACACAATTTACATAAAGCAATTTAGCGTTTGCCTATTCTCTGCGCGCTACGGATAAATCCCAATGGTATACGTATTATATCGTGATAGAAACCGTATCTAAATATTTCTTCTATGATTTTATTAACTGGAAAAATATTCACACTCCACACTTATTTTTTTTGTATATTTTTTAAATTTTTCAGACATTATCGCTGTAGGTGTCTTCACGACGTGAATAACCCAACCGAACCGAAACTCTTACAAGTATAGGAGACTTTTAAAATTTTTTCTATTACTCCGAAATAACATTAAAGTCAGTCTTACGAATCACAGTGAAGCTTTGATATGATCAAATTATTGTGCTCGGTAATATTCTTAGTTTCACTAGCGGCCCTTCGGTGGCATTCCTTACAACGCGGAATGTTATTAAGATTGTGTACTTGTTCGAACAAAACAAAATACTTTATAAAAACTCTCATCAACGAAAAAATTGTGCTCGATTTTACATCGTCCGATGACGCAGTCGCAACCAACAGCGATAAAGTCACTTTTTGTCAACGGAAAACCTTAGAAAAAGGACAAAATCTAACCAGAATAATAGTACGTACGTTCAAACAACTCGCACACATTCAATAATATAGAAATACTTTTAACATTTGCAGCTATAATAATTTAGTATATAGTTATATATATTTATTATAAATGCTGAGCGGGTGACAGCCTGGGTCGTAAGTTGCTCCTGTACGGCTTGTACGCTCTACTCTAAGCTACATTATTAAAAGTAGATAAATAGCATTTAAAATACTACTTAGTTATTTCGTTACCTTATTGCTTTGAGTTACCTTAGAAGACAAAATTTTGATATCAGCATATGCTTTGATATCATAGGGCTGTACTGGGGGGTCACTCCTGCAATTTTCCCGACACATTTCGTCGCAAGCGAATTGAATAAAAATGCCGTTACTGATTACAAAGATTTATTGGTCTTTCGAAAGACAATGACAATACTGAAAGTGTGATCACATTAGGTAGTCGCCTCGCCAAGCGGACTAAAACAAAACAGACTATCTATGTTTAATTATTATTATTAATAAACAATTTAAAAAAGCAAGAGTTGTCTACTGGAGTTAGAAGCCTGGCTTATATTTATAAAATAAAAACAAAGAAGCGACTTTGAAGAAAACTGCAGGACCACTCGGATGTTTCGTAAAATTTTGGTACTTTCGTTGGAACGCAAGTTAAAGTAGTTTGTTGTGTGTTATTATATTTTATGTCGCAAACAACCCGATGAGATCACGTACCAGTTGAACCTGCGACCCCAAGCTAATGTCTTACAGGAGGCTACAAAAAGATATATCTTAATATAAATATTTTTCATTTACTTCATATTACAATATAAATACCGTTTTGTTTTTTATTAATTTTTTTCTAAAAACATCTATATGTATTTCTTATTTCTATTCAAAAATTACTTTTATATATAATAATTATGAAATATAGATATTATTACTTAAATATCGTAGTTAGGCCTGTATATTAAGTGTTTAAAAATATGCTAATATACAGAGTGATTTGCAATTTATATGTGTCGCAGTCAAATCGTGAACGATGGAGCTGCCCTAGAGATTTACTAGAGCAGCGGCTGATGAATATGCAGATAAACATACCTAATAATAATATTATTGCAGCAACGAAGCTGTGAGATTGGAAAAGCGCAGTTCCAGCAAGAAGCCAAAATCCGCCAAGAACTCTCGCCCCCCAATCGACAGCTCTCTTAGTCGAATATACACACGAAAACACATCAAAACACAGCGATGAGAATGCCAATTAGCCTATCTAGATTTCATACCCAAAAGTCTTACATGTAGGAGAAACGCAAGTGGAAAAACGGGAGAACGGAAAAACACAACAACAAAGATATTACTTTTTCACTACAAAAAGTTTGGATGATTTCCGGGCGGGAAGACTTTTATTAAAACCTTCGGTTGCTGCAGCACCTTTTTAAAAGTCGTGCCCTAGAGAACCGACGCCTTAATCAATCCTAAACAGCGCGTTTCGCATTACCTAGACCATCTTATTCCTAACAGTATTATAAGTGGCGGCGTCGTTCTGCGTCCCGAAAAGTTATCGCTTCGCGTTCAAAAATTCCTCTTCTCTTCTTCATTTCACTTTTCTTACTTTCTTTGAGCAGATTATATTATACACAACTCGTTAAATGTCATTTAAAGTTGCTACATCTACGTTCACGCGTACTAAAATATTTTTATATGCGATTATAAGATTATTAAAATATAAAACGCGATTTTTTCTATAATAATAAATGTATGTTGTATTATAAATTGTGCCTCGTGAGCTACTTCTAGACTCTACAGTACTCACTAACATGCAAGAGATGATGTACAACACCAAACGACACAAATGATGATCATGCGGGGAACACAACATAGCGGTGGCTTGCGATTCCGAAAAGAGCAAAAATAAATAAAAACAAAATAAAATATAAATCACGAAATTTATTACAATATTTGGTAGCATTAATTTATAAAAAAAATCATTACCTTAAATAACATTTGCTAGTTTTCTAAGGATCAACCAAAGTAGCGAGCGTGGTTTAGTCTTATAGGTTAATATTTTTTTCTCTCGTTTATTAAATAATAATATATACGATTACCACACCGGGCCTTTAGTTGTCCGTTAGACGACGACCAAAATAAGCGAAATTTCCTTAAGCGTAGGTCAGTCGCTTCATTAAAAATGGTACTAATTTATAAATTTCTAAATAGAAAACACACTTATACATTTCATATTCAAAAATCAATAAAAAATTACAAAAGAAATCACTTCGAGGATTGTTTATATAATTAAAATATCAATATAAATATAATTCAATCAAAAACTAATTAAACTATTTCAAACAGTCACTCTGCACACAACTGTGGACATGTACTTGTACTAACATTCATATTTAAATATCTCCGCAAAAATATGTAAAAAAATAAAATAATAATTGTAATAATAATAATAATATGGTATTAATAGCTATAAAACAACAACTTATTTACAGTGTACGTATAAACAAACTAAGTCGTCGGGAGCGGGAACGCCCGATCTAAGCGGTCGCCGCAGACCGAGCAGCCGAACCGTAATAAGGGTAATAATAATAATAATAATAAAATATATAAAATTTATCTAATAACGATAATTTTCAAAATACTACAATAAAAAAATAAATAAAAACAAAATATAGCATCTTAATATTTAAATATATATAATAATACACACATATATATATTATAATAATATTAATAATAAGTAATAAGTAAAGCTAGGGCGGTCGGTCTGCGTCGATCGAACAGTGAACAGTTGAATAGTGTACCTAATAAGGAGAGGGGTGCGGGGCACAGGAAGAAATGCACGTGAAAATCAAAGGAGGCCGGGGGCGGCGAATGACGTGTGAATACTGGAGGATCGAGGCACGAGATCGCAGGCGGGGGCCGCACAAGAATTTTGTTTTTCGATTCCTATTTTATCTCTAATAAATGTATGTATGAATGTAAACGTGTATGTATGTGTGTGTGAGTGTGTGTGTGCTGTGAGACGGCGATGAGGGTGTGTATGTGAGTGTGCTAAAAAAAATGATGGTGCACGATGACCCTATACAAACACTACGAGGTGGCTGTGGACATGGACAGTATGACAACTATCAGCGGCGGCGTGGGCGCCGTACACCGGACTGCACGCGTATTAAATCATTTATCTCTTCATCATTTATAATTATTATTATATTATACAAAATACTCTCATAACTTATAGGCTATAAGAAATATAGAAATATATGTATCACATCACATGAAATAACAGAACAATAGCAACAATGAGTGATTAACTAACAATAAGGGATATGTATGTCGTTATTAGGGGTGCAACCGGCCGGCGAGACGTCGACGCCGACACGCCGTGTGGCAGTTCAGATCACAGCCGAAAGGCCCCCAAGCCCTGCCTGCAGCTCTGCTCACCGCACTCTGTTATTAATTACGTGATAGCGAACTCCTTCAAAATACATTCTCCTGTCCTTTCTCACTTTTCGATAATAATATATATTTTTTTTTGAGTTTTTCTTGTTAAATCTATTATTATTTTATATATTATTTTTTTTAACTTTAAATATACACATTACTTAAATAATATTTTGAGAATTGCTGATTCAGACTTTAATAATGTGACGACTCGTCGTCACATGGCGAAACTTAAAAAAATATATTTAAAAAATAACGAACCACTTATCAATAGTATAAAAATTTACATTATTACGTTAATTAGTGTCGCGTCATGTCTTTTCCTAGGGTAAACGGAGTCGAGAGGTTATTCCGCGAGTGCATACACATAAAAAATACGTAAAAATAAAAAAGAAACCCAATCAGGTCTAATACTAGAAAAACGGTGACGTAATAAGAAAATATGTTTAACTGGCATACAATGATGACTACGTTTCGGCGAGTTGGCCCCCTTCGCGCCACACAACATCCTTAATTAACTTAACGAGAAAAAATATATGAAAACGCGACAAGTGAAAAATCAACGACGATCCCACAAGAGACGACGACGACGACGAAATCGACGACGACGAAAGAACGGAAAGCTCCGAAATCCAGCGTTCGTTGTATGCGACGTGCGATGCGAAGGGCGCGAACTGTACCGAAGCTGAACACAGGGCGCGGGCCCGGGGAATGTGGTGGGCGCGGGAGGATTCGAGCGAGATCGATCGACTTAAGGGTTGGGCGAGTAGATGCGGATGGCCTGGATGGCGGGCAAGGAGCAGACGGGGCACTGGGCCTCGCTGCCGTCGCAGACGCGGTTGGCACAATCCATGCAGAAGAAGTTGTGGCCGCAGGGCACCAGCGCGTGCGTCACCTTCGCCTCGCTGCAGACGAGGCACTTGGCCGAGCCGAGGAGCGAGTCCGCCGGGCTGGTGCTGTGCGCGGGCGAGGGTCGCGACGGCGCCGCCGCCGGGTACGACCAGATGGACGACAGCGCCGTGGCGCTGTCGAAGCTCGGCGACTCCCCCAGGCCCTCGTCGCGGTCGCTCGAGCTCCAGATGGCGCCGAGGTCGCGGCCGCCGCTGCTCGACGAGCTCGACGAGCACGAGCCCGAGCTGGAGAAGGCGCCCGTGCTGCCCGTCGACGACGCCATCGGGAACTGCTCGCCCGGCTCGATGTAGTTGAGGATCGAGCTCAGGCCCGACTTGTACAGCGACGTGAAGAGGTCGCTGTCGTCCAGGCCGCCGAGCCCGCCCAGGCCGTTGATGGAGGTGCCGTTGCCGGTGCGCATCGCGATGTGGGCCTCGATCTCCCTCCTGGCCGACTCGACGCTCTCGGGCAGGCCCGTCACCTCGAACACGGGCTCCTTGTCGCGGCTGGGCGTCACGATGTAGGTGTGCGTCTGGTGCTGGATGCGCTTGATGGTGGCGCCCTTGGGGCCGACGACCAGCCCCACGACCCGGTAGGGCACGCGGACCTGGATCGTCACGTGGCCGGGGATGTTGGCGGGCGGGCCGGGCGGCGTGCTGGCGCCCGACCCCAGCCCGGCCAGGTTGTTCTTTCGGGAAGCCCTTATCTGGGAGAAGTGTTCGGCGGCCGACAGGATCTCGCGTTTTGCTTTGGCGACGTCCTCCTTGCGCCCGGTCACCACGAAAACGGGCTCCTCGCCGCGGACAGGCGTCTTGATGTAGGTGTTTGTTTTGGCCCGGAGAGCTTTGATCTTGCAACCTGGAACAAAAACGCCGGCTTTAGTCGAGGCTGGCTGCGGTTTCGCTTATAGGGTAATAATTAATATGATCGGGGCATCGGCATGGTCTGATCAGAGAACCGCGCAGACAAAGCCGGTGGTGGCGACGCCCTTCAACCTGCCGACAGGTCACTCGCATTCACCTTGTGCGCGGGCGCTCAACCAGACTGCGTGCGAAAGCCGCTTCTGCTGCGGCTGCCGCTGCCGCTGCCGCCGTTTCCCGGATGCCGAGGAGTTCCATTCAAAAAATCAAAGACACGACACGGACCCACAGCGGAAGCTAAGCCTAAACCATCTCTTTTTTCTCCCGTCGTACGACAATCTCCGCCTAATTAGAACCAACTCCCCAACAGCAAAACGTCTAGGAAAAAGTTTTCCAGGACGACGGCGTCGACAACGGATGTTCAGGCGTCTGATCTGCGGCGACACGGCTCTCGAAATAATAAATCTAATACCGCTAATGACCATCGATTCCATGAGAAGCAGGTCTCGTATACAACTGCATGTAAATATTTCAAATGCCAATGGCAGCATTGTGACTACACCTAAACTGTTCTGGAAATTTATTAATAATAAAAAAAAAACACAGGGGGAAACCAGTATTGAATGTTGGACACCGATCCGCTAAAGGTAGGGATGAAATAGCTAATCCTTTTACTGAATATTTTGTGTCTGCTTAGACGCGAGATGATACTAAAGACTTTGTTCGTGATTTCAAATCCGATATGAATGACACGGATTTAAAGATTATCTGATGTTTTCGATGAGATTTCTAAATTGAATTCTTCGTGTCTCAACAGTGTTCTAAACAAATTGTAAACAGACAGCTGCTCTGGAAACACCTTAAAAGATGCTCTATGTTAAAAATGCAATAGGTGTCTAACATTACGGGTAAAGTCGTGGAATTACCCCAAGTCAAACTTTTCCTCTTCCTATCTTATGCACTTTGTGTGAACCAAAAAATCACCAAATTTTGACTAGGTCGTAAAGTCTTATGTCAAATTTTGAAATGCAAGCAAAACATATAATTTTTAATGTGTTCAACTATCTTGATAGAAACCAAAATGTTTTGGAAAAAAGGAAGATAAAACTGGCCGCAGAAATGTTGAAAATTTCGGAAAGATCTGTCTACAGGCTACAAAAAAGTCCACGTTGAAGTGACTTTGAATACAAGAAAAATATGTCTTCTAGTCAATCCGGGAGATTATCTATAAGATGGTTGTTTCTAAAGAATACATTACTATTAGGTTGCTGCACGATCGAGTAATGGAAAAGATTCCCGATTTTAACGTTGGTCCTAGATCGTTAACCAAGTGGGTAAGGAAAATTGGTTTCAAATTTAAGAAAAATAGTAACAGATTATTTTTGATGGAACGGCCTTCAGTTAAATTAAAAAGAACAACTATTGGTTTCAACAAGACGGTGCTCCACCTCATTTTGGACGTCAAGTGTGACAGTACTTAAATGAAACTTTTCCTGGCAGATGGATAGGCCGAAGGGGTACTATTGATTGGCCTGCCAGATCCCCAAATTTGACACCACTTGACTTTTTTTGTGGGGCTATTGATTTCGGTTAATGGTTAATTTATTTATTGTTTAATATTAACTAAAATTAATAATTCTTGTACCGTTATATAAGTAAGTATTCATCCCGTTGGACTATTAATGCTTGTATGAGAAAAATAATAACCCCTTAAAACATATAAATCTACTAGCGGATAGTCTTCGTATAAAAAACTTATACACTTATTTCCGAAAAAGACATGCAGAATTCCTATCAACTTCTGATATTTTTTCGCCGGCAACGACGTACACGTTTTTTCATTTTTCGATTTTCCAATCTTCGATTTTTCAATTTTCAGTTTTCGATTTTCCACTTTTTGATTTTACGATTTTTCGATTTTTCTGTTCGTCAGTTTTTAGGCTTTGCAATTTGTTTACTTTTCGATTTTTCGATTATTTTACTTTCCAGTTTTTTGATTTTTGAATTGTCGACTTTAGAGTTTTCAATATTATGAATTTTCGAATTTTCGGTTTTCCTATTTTTCGATTTTTGATTTTTCCATTTTTCGGTTTTTTGATTTTTCAATTCTCGGTTTTTCAATCTTGCAAATTTTCGATTTTTCAGATTTGTGAATTTTCAGTTTTTCGATCGACCTACGTATTAGATTCATTGAATTTTCGATTTTTCGGCTTTTCGATTTTTCGATATTTGATTTTCGAATTTTCGATTGTTCAGTTTTCCATTTTTCAGCTTTTAGACTTCAATTTTTTTACTTTTCGATTTTCCAAATTTTCGAGTTTCAATTTTCAGATTTTTGATTTTTCGATTTTCTTTTTAAATCTTTGAATTTTTCGGTTTTGATTTTTCGAATTTTTGATTTTTAATTTTTCCATTCTTCGGTTTTTAGACTTCAATTTTCTTTCTTTTAAATTTTTCGATATTCTATTTTCCGCTTTTCAGAATTTTCGATTTTCAGTTTTCAGACTTTCGATGATTAGAATTTTGGATTTTTCAGTTTTATGATTTTTCGATTTTTAGAAAATTTGAGTAGTCGAATTTTCGATTTTTCAATTCATCGATTTTTCTGTGTTCAATTTTTCAGTTTAAATTTTGCGACTTTCAATTTGTCCATTGTCGATTTTTAGAATTTTCGGTTTTTCAATTTTTCCATTCTCAACTGTTAGACTTCAATTTTGTTACTTTCCGATTTTTTGGTTTTCGATTTTCCAATTTTCAGAATTTTCAAGTTTCTTTATTCAGATTTTCCATTTTCCACTTTTTCGATTTTAGATTTTTCGAATTTTTGTTTTTCCAATTTTTTGCTTTTTCGATTTTTCTGTTCGTTTCAGTTTTTAGGCTTTGCAATTTTTTTTTACTTTATATATTTTGATTATTTTAATTTCCGATTTTTTTTATTTTTGTTTTTGATTTTTTTAATTTTCAATATTACAAATTTTTGACTTTTCGATTTTTTGGTTTTCCCGTTTTTCAATTTTCGATTTTCCGATTTTAGAGGTTTGTGAATTTCCACTTTTCGATCGACCTAGGTATTTGATTCATTGAATTTTCGATTTTTTGATTAGCCATTTTAAGATTTTCGATTTTTACGATTTGTATTTTTCGATTTTCTGTTTTTTGCATTAGTGAATTTCAGTTTTTCCGATTTTTGATTTTGCGCATATTTGATTAATCAAATTTTCGAAAAAGTTACCATGCTTACAAAAACTTCAAAACATCTACAATATTTCAAAGTATTCAGTTTTGCTATTCTTGGTTTCTTCAATAAAATAAATTGACTCAGTCATTAACTTTTTTAAGATACCCTGTATAACCAAATCTAAAAAAATATTAATGCAATGATAAATCACAAGTATAAAAACTCATCATATTTTATACATTTAAGATAGGATTTATTCTGCAAAATTTTGAGGTGACGCCATACATTTTTTAGAGGGGATAAGCAAATATATTTTAATTAAAAATGTATCATGTTTATCATGATTTTAAAACATCTGCAAGATTTCAAAGTATTCGATTTTGCAAATTCAAAATTAAATTGCAAAATATTGTTTTATAATTTTGATTTTTTTTCCAAAAATCTAGACGTTTTGGATAAAAACTCAACACGGAGTCATAAACTACTACATGTGCTACTGTATACAATTTAAAACCCATTTACTATGCATAAATTTGAAGTGCCGTCATCGCATTATTAGTGGTGATGATTAGACAAATTTAATAATTTTGCGACATTTATGAAAAAAATATCAGTTAACAAAAATGGCACGTTTTTATTATATGCCAGTTACATGTCACTCAACGACAATATCGTTTTTTTAAGAGTATTTTATTTGAAAAAGTGATGAAATTTTTTATACGAAACAATTGGTCGAAAGCAAAATAATTCATGTCCGGACCATCGTTACTCACGAACGAAAGTGACCATTATTTTATAGGAACAACTACCTGCTAAATCTTCTCCGACAAATTCGAGAGAACTGGTGGAGCCATAAATATTTCTTACCAAATGTATATATAACTACTGTCCGTCCCGTTATTGTCAATAAAATTTTATAGAGTAAAATGTAAATTTCGTTGTAGTTTGAGCCTACCTACAAATTCTGCCCTTGAAGGATTTGTACCGCCTTCTTCGGTGAGGGCAGGCAAAAACGATCCGCCCATAGGCTCAAAACATTTGCGTGCGATTGTACACAGTTTGGGACAGGTTTTGGGCAAGATCATTGACATACATGACGAAAAGCAATGGTCCTAGAACCCGACTTGAGGTACCCCAAAAATTAACCAAATCGATCAAGTAATTAATTTGGATTTGATTGAGAAAGCTCAACACAAACAAGATAATAAACGGTCGAATTGATGATAAGAATATAGAATGTTGTAAATTGGAGACCCCGCAACAAATAAACGAAATCGAATCTCCGTTCTTCGGGGTCTTCATCCCTCCTCGCGGGTTCGTCGCCCCGCTCGTGGAATTTTCGGGCAGAGGCGTCCCGCGCGAAATTGCCACTCCGTCTCGGTTTTGTTCGTTTTTCGAGACCCAATTTGGCCGCCCCTGGCTTTCGGCTCCAGATAAATGTATCACCTCGGTGGCGTTGAACTAATCAAGAGGAGTCTCTTGTTTCTTTATTTGTGTACAAGTTGTGCAGAAAGTTGTATCGGTCTTTAAATAACAAACGGCAACGGGTGCGTTGCCCAGGTACACGAAGATAACCTTGGTTCGTAAGAATGGAATAGCATCGGTCCAGTCCAGGTAAGGTCGGGGATTTATTGTGGACCGCTGGGGTCCGGGCCGGACGACGCGGTTTAAAGAATTCACCACAAAGACACAATGGCGAGCTCGAGGACGTCCTTATCATCGATTGCTCTTAATTAGCGCACGAAAATCGACAAAATCGAAGACTATTTTTATGGAGTTCTACGTGCAGGAGTATAAAATATATCGACGTCATAAAAGCA